GCAAGGACGCTACTAGGGGCTCCTGGCATCGCTACTAGGAGCAAGGATGCTACTAGGGGCTCCTGACATCGCTACTAGAGCAAGACGCTACTAGGGGCTCCTAGGGGCTCCTGGCATCGCTACTAGGAGCAGAGCAAGGATGCTACTAGGGGCTCCTGGCGGCATCGCTACTAGGAGCAAGGACGCTAGTAGGGGCTCCTGGCATGCTACTAACATCTACTAACTAGGGGCTCCTGGCATCGCTACTAGGAGCAAGGATGCTACTAGGGGCTCCTGGCATCGCTACTAGGAGCAAGGATGCTACCAGCAGCTCCTGGCATCGCTACTAGGAGCAAGGATGCTACTAGGGGCTCCTGGCATCGCTACTGGGAGCAAGGATGCTACTAGGGGCTCCTGGCATCGCTACTAGGAGCAAGGACGCTACTATTGCCTCTCACTGTGCACAACCCGAACACACTTTCATGGGTGCCGCCTCGTGGCGCAAACCAGCTCCCGACGATAAACAGGTCACCCCAACCACCACTGTTTCAAGTCTCGAGGTTTCAGAGGAGACCTGTTGGAGGGTGTTGGAAAGAAGGTAGCTGTTGGAGTTCTTTCTTTTTGAGGTCCTTCCGGACCGTTCAGGAAGTTTGTTCAGATTCTGTAACTCGGCAGCCGTAGCCAACATCGTCTCAAACAAATTCTTACAAACGTGGTGCGCCTTTTGTGCATCTCGTCCTATTCTGGGAGTACGTATCCAACCCCCCACACGTTCACCCTAATTCTTGGAATCCAAGGAATGAGTCCGGCTTATGTCCAGCTTACCACCTTGTTTTAACACTTCAAACCAACAGCGGGAACCACCATGTTTGGGTGCAGGTGTACTAGCTGCTGCAGCTTTCCCACATGCCACACCCTTCGGAACGACGCCGTTGTTTCTTTCTCCCACCCGGGTCACCGGCTGGTCGCCCCCGAGCCCGTTGGAGCGAGCGAGCGACCAGGTGGGGAAACCCGAAGCTGCGAGGGACGGTCGCCAAAGTTGCGATCTCACCGAGTCACTCGAGTCGGTTGAGAGGCTTTTTCGGCGGGGAGTTTCATGCATGGAATGGATGGTTTGGTGAGGGGGCTCGGGTGGGGGTGGTGCCCATTGCTCTGTGTGTGTGAGCTAAATAGTTGAATTTAGAACGTTAATTAATTGGTATGGGATGGGATGAGCACCGATGGTTTTGGTTGCTGGTCGATGATTGTGAGTGGCCATGGGGGTTGATCAAGAGTCTTTTGAATTGGCGGTTGGTGTGCATTCTTTTGGGCGTGTTGGACTTGATGGCTTCTGGTTGCTTTTTGTGATGGACTACTCGGCCCCACATTCAATCGGGTTTATATTTCATTGCTCCTTCTTCTGTGATCCATTTGCAACGATCCAAGGTGGAGTGACCTTCAAAATTGTGCAAACTAGTCGGGGAAGCAACATGAAGCAACCAGCCGGAAGCTTGCTATCAAAGCAAGGCGAGTCAAACATCAAAAGAATCAACTAATGCAGGATTTTCCCCAAAACAGGTAAATCCAAATAGTAAGGCCCTTCAAACGCCACGTCCATGATCAGAACGGAATTAGGAAGGACCATCAGCTATAAGCTATATATATGTAGCACACGGGGCAGCGGGTGTTGAACACGCGGCGAGGCCCTTGATGGCTCAGCTGGGCTGAGGATGCCAACATGGATCTTAATCTTGAATTAAAAGACACATACGATACTGAATTTGGACATTTCACAGGGATCAGGTGTTTTAAACATCAAGAGTAAGTTTGCTTAACAAATATATCTCAAACATCTCTATTGAATTTGTAAACCAGCTTCGAGTGACGACAGGTCGTTGTGACCTTTGACCAGCTGACCTCGGAATATAAGATGCTTGGAACAAGGACGCTACTAGTAACAAGGGGCATCGCTACTAGGAGCAAGGACGCTATTAGTAGTTCCTGGCCTTACTACCAGGAACAAGGACGCTGAAAAAGGGTCACGAAATGGTCACGAACTGAAGAAGCTGAATAGCTGGGCAAGCTTAGCTTGAGGTTTGTGTTTTGCCTTCACTCTAAGGCTATTGGTTAGCCACGGCCTCGGTGCTTTTCTCCGGTCTGCTAGGCGGGGAGCGACGACTATCGCATGTTGTTGGTGTCCTTTGATGGCATGGAGGTTTTTATCACATATAGAACGTGTTGTTGAAACCTTGTCGCCACCCCCTGGCTGAAGTAACATAAAATCTTTCCAAGATTCCGTCAACTAGTAGCAAGAAGCTACCAATTAGGTGGAGGCCATCGCTATTAGGTTGGAGGCCATCGCCACTAGTAACAAGAAGCTACTACATTCATACATTCCCTCTCAAGGTCAAGTCTGTGCCGCCATGTGCCGAGTCCTTCACCCTGTGCCGCCCGTCCTTCACAGCTGCGAATGGCTCCGGCGACTCGCAGGTGGCAAGGTCACCGCCGCCCTTTTGGTGGGGCTTTGTGCCGTTCCCTGGGCTCAGAGGGGCGAAGGGCGACGGTTGGAACCGAAGAATGTTGGGCTTCGTTTAGACCAAGAGAGGTATCCAGTGACCTGAACTAGGACCATTCTGGGGTACCGGGATAGTCTAGGTTGGGTTCTTCAACCTCTGTTGGGAGAAACATGATTCAGCGAACGTGTTAACAATTTGTTTGGCCGGTCGTCCGACCTTGGAAAGGTCCGCCGGACGGTGTGGACCGTGGAGACCGTGGATTGGACGATTTCGCGGTCCGGGAGTCTCTGGTTTTCGGGCAAAGACAGGATGCTTTCTATCATGGAGAGCCTGTCAAGGAAAAGCATGACAGGACCTGGCACGATGATTTTATCAAAGACAGGATCGAAGCGTGACATGCAGATTCTTCTCCATCCAGGTCCTGGCACCTGCCGGGACCCCTTTGGGCGGAGTAGAAAACGCCAAGTCAGGGTGATCGTTGCCCGGGTGATCGGGTATATCTTGGGTTTGCCCCAAATGACCCATCACAGTCGGTTAACAAGCAATGATCACTATTTTAGAGGAGCGGCCTGCAACTACGGCCTATCATCATCCACTGAAATCTGGTAATAGGAGAAACCCCAGGTATACCAGCACCCTCAAAGGGGTCACCAATGGAAGCCCCGACACTACCTATAGGACCTCCAGCCAGGACACCCCGACAGGAGGGTCCTGGTATAAACGCAAGTCTCACGGCCCTCGGGTCAACGGGTCAACGGGTCGAATGCAAGTCGACAGTGCCCGGTTTTTTCATGAGGTTCCTTGGTTCTTGGTTCTAGGTGTTACTTGGTCCTTGGACTGGCAGGGGTAGTGAAAGAGGATCACGATTTGGGGGAGAAAGGTTTGCGAAATGACCATCATCGTCCACGCCCTGGTGATGGGATAGTATTATACAGTTTGATTGTCAGTGTGCCTCCCATTTCAAGCTGGTTGTCCTTGTTTTGCCGATTCGTGTGATGTTCTTTGTTCCCTCTGGGTGAATTATTTATTTAATACAGGAATGCGATTCGTTTGCGGTTTTCCTCCTGCGAATGACAGCAAATGAACTTGAGGATACCACGGGCTCTCAGGGCTCTTGCCCATCGAAGCCACAATGGCACCAATTCTTGAGCAGCCAAGGCCACCTGAGACGGAAAAGTTCAGGCTCCCAGGTGTTTTTTTTTGAATGTTTGCCATCAAACCGAACCATGAGCACACTCATCTTACCGGTTTTGGTTGGTTTGCCTATAGGACAACTAGAACCGGGTGAACTGTTTCTTCCAAACCACTTCTGGTCCTCTCCTCTCCGCCCTCTCCCAAGGTCTTGGGTGGTCTCTTTGGTCGCAAGACCCCCTTGGGCCGGGCCATGACGGGCCCCGTGTGCGCTATGTCACTGGGCGTCCTGGTCGCCAGCCAATCTCCGGCACCTGCAGCCGTGCTACGTCCCGCGGCGGTGCAGAACGAACGCGTTTCACGTCCCGCCGGGCTACGTAGGTCCTTTACGAGATGAGACCAGAGGATTTTCGAGAAGGGAAGTGGTTTGTGGACCAGTGGATTATATATGTTTTGATCGATGAACTTGGGGAGTGGACCTGAGAAGAAGCCAGCTGCAATGGCCAACCGAACCAGTGTTTTGAACCAGCTCATCAGGAGTCCGTTCTGTCCTTTTGGGACACTATGTTTTGGTGGTCTCACATAGGCCGGCACGGTCTGGTCGTTGAGGCCATTTTCCTGTTCTCAATCTCATCCTGCAGTGCATGGTGGGATTTCTCCATTGCTGGACATTTGGGGTTTTGGCCCGGGCGTAGGTTGACAGGTTCGCCAGATGTGGGAAAAAACAGTTGGTTCGCCACAGGGGAAACCCCTCGAAGGACGGACTGACCTGCCACGTGACCTGCCATGACCTTGTTCACGAGCATCTGAAGGGTGCGCTTGCTGGAAGAAAGTGCTTGGGAAGGACGTTTCCTCAGATATGTTGGAGTCTCTATCATGGTAACTTCAACACACCCAGCCACATGGCATGACATTCAGCCTTGTGGCCAAGAAGCTGTGTACCAACCGGGTACCGCCAACATATATCCCAGGTCCCAACGTAGCCCTTCACCCGACTTTAGGTACGTTGGGAACATGGGACATGACCCCCAAAACGTACCCGGAACGGTGGGACCTAAAGTTCCAACGACCCGGAAGCCCCAAAACATAGCAGCTACGCAGTCGACCCGTTCTGAACGAACAGGTCGACTCCAGGCGGATGTGTTCGCGGCGACCGTCCTTTTCGGCCAAAGCCACGTCCCACGGCGGTCCTTCGGTCACCACGTCCTTCGGCCCGGCCCGTCAGGACGACTGCAGTTCTTCTCGGTGACCTTGGCGACTCCTTTGCTGCCGCCCGCCATCCCGTTTCAAGCGGGTCTCGGAGTGGTCGAGGTCAGCGGTCACGTTCCAACTGGTTCCAACAAACGAGTGGGGATGAGTGGAGCTTCGGCTGGATCAGGTTTCAGCTGTTGGATGTCACTCTGTGATCCGAGAAGCGAAACTTCGGACCAATCCCGAAGTTCCCGAAGTTCGACAGAGAGAGGTTGAGTTGGACGAGTATAGTAGGGACACAAGGCGGAGAAGCACACCATACTTTTTTGGAGGATCGCTCTTTTGTAGGTGTTGCACTAAGTGTCAGGCAAAACCTTTGCGCATTTTTGCGCACACTCTTTCTAAGAACGTTTGCCTGGCTTTGGATCTCCTGTTGGAGCATTTCCTTTGCAAGACTGAGCAGGCTTCCAACTTCCAATCTGGAAAGATCCGAAGAAAAAGAGGCCAAGATCATCCAAGATCATTGAAGGGAACATCTACATGGAAGCATATGGGAAACCATGGTTTTCGCCTCCACACAAAAATCCATGGCCTTTCCGGCGGGTTTCCTAGGACGATTCTTTCCCCTGTCTTCACTCCTGGGACCTGCCTGATCCCGCATGCGATGCCATGCGGCCGAGGCTCCTCTCCTGCAACTTGAAGGAGCCCGGCCGCTGTGTCCAGCCGCTCCAGCTCCGGCCGCTTCACGCTTCTCTTTTCTTCAAACATGGTTTTTCACGCGGAGTTCGGGTGGTCTTTTGCGGTGGGGTACGGTGCCGTTTGGGTGGTGAAGAAGCGTGCGTGTAGAGAAAAAGCTTGGACAGGAGAGTTACATCCTCAATTAGATAGAATTTGGGACAAAAGACACAGGAACACCAACAGGAAACTGGCTTTTGGATTGCTTAATTTTCTATTTCCATTTCCTCTATAGAATGGTTGTATACGTACAAGCATGTTCGAGAATTTAGCGGTTGCTTTCCTTATTTGTAGAAGCCAGTTTTACGGTTTGTCTCTAAAGTTGGCAACAGAATGTGACGAAGCATGGCAAATAGAACCAGCTTCCACCTTGGATAACTAGTAATGGATCAAGGTAATGTGTGTTGAGCTGTTCTTTCTTGTTATAGTCGTTGAATGCGGATGTAAAGACATGCACGGAACCCAGATCCTTTCAGGCCTCAGGAATTTATCGTTTCAGGAACAAGAGCAGGCAACACAATACAAGGTTGAGGGAAAAAACACATGCAAACACAATGAGACGAAACAAACATGTGATCTAAAAGGATTTGGTGTTGCGTATGTCCAGCATTCTAATTATTGTTTGGACGCGCATGTTCAAGATTGAAAGCAGAGGAGCTTGGCAAAGCCAGGTGCGTTAATTTGTAGCTAAGACAACGAAGACAACGACGACGACGCCCTCTACTTCTACTTCTACTACTACTACCACTACCACTACCACGACTACTGCTGCTGCTGCTGGTGCTACGACTAGTACGACACTACGACGACTACTACAACTACTCCTACTTCAGCTGCGGTTGCTGCTGCTACTGCTCCTAACTACTACCACAACTTGCGTTTTGCGCTGCTCCATGCACCCTCGGATTGATGTTCCGTTCCAGTAAGGTGGGGGTCCTTCTTAGGCACTTCCTACTTCCTACTCTTGATTTCTCTAAGGCGCAGTGGCATTGGGGGTATAGCTCACACTTCAAGCGAGGGCAAGGTCATCCGTACTTTCATGCCGTGGGAGTGCTTGGAAGAAGCAATGGAACGTCACGTCGGATCCAGCAGCGGAAAATCATTCAGCAAAAGATTCTGGTATCGCTGGGCGAGCTGCCACATTGTTGGTTTGCATGCGCTGCTGCCTCTGATAAACTTATATAATTGTAGCCATTGAGAATTAAGATACGCATGCAGCCTAATTTGGGTGCTTTCCAGCTTGGCTTGTCATTCACTATGCAATATCCATGCGGCGTGTTCTTTTTCAATATTCTGCCCTCTCTGAAGGCTTAGAGGTGGTGCTGGTCGCTTTGAGCGCAGTTGGGTAGCGTTCTTTGCTTCCAAATGGCTGTCGCAAAAGGACACTTTTCGTGATGATTGCTCGAGCAGTAGTCAGGCTTCTCTTCACGTGACGACTGAACATGAGCTGGGGTGTGGCTCAAAACTTGCTTGTTGCATTCTTACCGCTAACATACTCAGACACGCGGAAAAAACATCGAGAATCCATGTACCATGGCCCCGCTCAAGAAAACGTTGCCCTGTACACATCTCTGTGGAGGCATATACATCGGCATCGGCGCTGTTACGGGGAGCTGCCGCTGCAATCGCTCGGTGGGTTGACATGGAGACATAGGACCCCATCAAGTTGATGCATGTTGACAAGGATTGGTCCACGCGTACTTCAGTTTGTTGCAACTACACGCTGGGTTGATTGAGGGATGTGTGAAAGATGTGCACTTTGTGTGGCGCACGTTGGGTTCCATTCGGGCAACTTGTTGATATGATTGTTGCTCCAAAGCTGATTGAAATGACATGCCAGAACCTTCAAAGTGACCTCTTTCAAGTCTCTAAGTGACCTGTTTAAGCACTAAGTGACCTCAAGTTCATTTTGAAAGTCCCGGTGGTATTCAGTTTCATCACGCCAGATAGCCCAGCTAGGGCAGAGTTTTGTGAAGACGATAGAAGGAGATGGACATGGTTTCAATAACTCAAGTTACATGCCGTTGGATTCGCAAAAATGACTCGCCGCAACCAATTCCATTGAACCTTTTTTGAACGGCTCCTTTTTTATGCGAAAAAAGAAGGACCCCCCACCTCCGCTGTTTCCAGTTTTCGCTGCTTGGGTGACGGGTGGGTATAGGAGCTCTGTGGCCCCGCCACGCGTCGCTTGCTGGGCGCCTTCGCTGTGGGAGCCGTGAGCACGGCGTCCGCCGCGTTGCTGGCTGCCCTGGTGCTACGTCATCCCTTGAGCGCAGCCCTGGGGGGCTGGGAGACGGCCAGCTGCTTGGTGGAAGGTGTTAGGTCCGGTGTTCGACCAGAGACCGGACTTGGAAGGTTTTTTGGGAGCAACGTGTTTATTTGGTTACTGTATTAGTATGTATTTGTTACATTTTGGTTACGTTTCACATGTGTTTGGGAGTTTTTTTGTTGGACTCTTCGTTGCGCACAGCGACGAGGCTTGGACAGATTGGCCTGTCATTATGGGAGATGTCCGATACGTCCTATAAGATCCTCTGGATTTTTGAGGGCACTTCGTAGCGCAAAGTCCAATTTTGGAGGATCTACACGCCAGAAAGTCATGATTTTCATGGTTGAAAGTTGAAAGTGGAAGGGACCATTGGAGGTCTCGACAAGTTCGATGAGTCTTTGCAGTGTTTTGGCCACCCGCATGTGAAATTCTATATTTTGCATGCTTGGCTCCTCTAAGATGAGGTTAGGCAGAATCCTGAAGATCTATTGGTCTATGTTTAAAACATGAAAAACAATGAATAAGTAATAGACTAGGCATGGTTGGTTCTTTGTTTCTTCCCGCAGGAACTTGTTTGGGATTTCGTGCTGCGACGTTGTCCGCGCAGAGTCCTACGTTCTTCGCACCCTGTGCGCGAAGGGCGGTCGTTCAACGCTCCAGGTAAAGCCATTGCAGCGTTGACCAGCAAGAACATCGGCGCCTGAGACCTATAAAAAAGCTCATTGGGGCTATGAGGAACTCAACGGCGTTCGGGACATTGACATCTCTATAGTGGCGAAATGAATGGAGCCAGGTACACTTAGTGTGATGACGTCCCCCTCCCCCGGTCTGGTCGGGATGACGTTGGCTCAGGGTCGGCGGGTGACCCCTCCGGTGCCCGGCCTCGGGTCCCGAGGCAGCGGCATCAACTTCGTGGCCGTGGCGCAGGCCCTGCAGATGACGCCCGGCACCGAGTGGAAGTTCCGAAAAGAAACCCTATAGTAGGGCAGGAGCTCTGACTGAAAGTATGACTGGAGCCTCCTGGCACCCACCTCCGACACCTTCTCAGAAGGTACTTGGAGCCCTGGGGATACTTCCTGCCTGAGGCCCGTTGGGGTCCGATGTCATGTTGAGGAGGTGGCATTGCAGATTCCGAAGGAATTGTCACGTTTTCTCTTGGTATAGGCAGTTTCGTATTCGGATACGATGGGGAGCGATTGCAGCCAAACGGATTGGATGAATTTAGATGGATTTGGTCCAGACTCTCTTGGACACCAGGTCTTTAGGAGACCCTTGTTGACCCTCCTCGACTCCTCGTCGACACTTGAGTGAACACTCGTCGTCCAGTTCTGGTGTCAGATTCCCATCACCTTCCATCCTTCCATCCTTCACAAACCCTCACATTGATCCATTCCGACCGTCCGGACCCCTTCGCCGCTTCCACCAAGGAAGCCGTTGATCATCGCCGCCAGCCTGGCGGTGGACAGCGCCCTGGGGGTGATCTACTTCCCGGTGGCTGCCAGCCACCCGCGGCAAGAGGGACGCCTTGGGCGGGTGTCTTGTGAAGGCAAGGTGGTTGATGTTCCCGAACTGGGTGCATCCATGTAAATCTCCGTAAACAAGTCCAAGCTTTCTGGCGGCCATTTCGCCCAATGCCGGGGGAGGGCGTGGTGGAGATCAAGGGTCAAGCGCAGTTGGATTAGCTGAAAAGAAGAACACTGTAAACAGAAGGACTGGAGAAGAAGTTTGGAGGGACGGTCTGGGACATGAAAAGACGAACAGGACGAACGGAGCTTCCCAGAATGGTATGTTGCGAACAGACCTGTGACAAGAAAGCTAGAGATGGCACCTGGATAGCCCAGAATGGAAGTCAAGAGTAGTTTATCGAAGTCAACAAGGTTGCGGCAAGGTGATTGAGCCAGATGCACTTGGCTGCATGCAGCTTTTTGGCGTCAAAGGTGCGACCTGGTCCAGCAATCAGAGATAGATGGTAAGGTCAATGCTAGACGAAATTTTTGAGAGTGTAGGTCGATAATATCGCACACTGCAGCGTCCGCCCCACGTGTGCTTCTTTTTGGCTCGAAGCTCCCTTTGGGAGGACCTTCATGAAGGTAGAACATGTTTGAGGAAGAGGAATGAAAACAAATGAGTCTGCAAAGACTGAATAAATATTCACGAAGCTTGCTTGGAGCAGTGATGAACCCAGGCGGATGCGGATTATTTTCGTGCTCAAATCACATACAAAAGAAAACACAGACGTATAGTTCTAATGTCTTTAAGGACCGCTGATCAAGCACCAGCTCCATGAGGCGCTTTTGACCCCAAAGACCACAAACACACGAAAAGCACAACTGAACGCGACTGCTGTGGGATGTATACACACAAATTAAACACAAAAAGGGCACCTTGAAAAAGCTACCTTCACGACCCCACTCAACTGCAACAACTTGCCAAGCGAACACGCCCCTTTTACAGGTGAGTCCCAGCCCCAACCATCCACCAACACCGAAAACCCCCTTTGCCGCCTTCGCGAAGTTTTCGTTCACGACACCACTCACCGGTTCCACGACCTGCTCGGCTTGTCCTCCCCCCGACACCGACGCCATGGATGGCACGGTGCCGGACGACCAGTTGCCCAAGAGCTCCTCCTCGGCGATGCCGGACCGAAGCGACAAAAGACAGGGAGCCAAGAAGGGTGCGCTCCGCAACGCCGCGTTTCTGGCACCTTCAAAAGAAATGCGTCAATTGCTTCTTGCCCCATCATTACCTCATATTACCTCATTCATTTTAATGTTCTTTTCTTCCTCTTGGCTCCCTGTCATGGCCCTTTTTTCTTTTCCGTTCCCATTCGCTCACCCTCCTACCTCGTGAAAACATTCTGCACTTGCAGGACTTGTCCTCCGAGACGGTGCCGCGGCTCAAGGCCAAGATCCACCGTGAGCTGAATTTGGAGGACGCGGCGCAGATCGGCCTCCAGGAGTTGGGCTACCGGCCCTTGGTGGCATCAGACATGGAGGAGATGATCGCACTGCACCAGGCCGGAAGACGAAGTGGAAAGAAGTAAAGAGGCTTCCAGAGATGGGTGAAAGACAAGAGACAGTAGTAGTAGTAGTCGTCGTCGTCGTCGGAGTCGGAGTCGGAGTCGGAGTCGTAGTAGTAATCGTAATAGTAGTAGTAGTAGTAGTAGTAGTAGTCGTAGTCGTAGTCGTAGTCGTAGTCGTAGTGGTAGTGGTAGTGGTAGTGGTAGTAGTAGTAGTAGTCGTCGTCGTCGTCGTCGTCGTAGTCGTAGTCGTAGTCGTAGTCGTAGTGGTAGTGGTAGTAGTAGTAGTAGTAGTAGTAGGAGTAGGAGTAGGAGTAGTAGCAGTAGCAGTAGCAGTAGCAGAAGTAGTAGTTGTTGTTGATGATGTTGTTCATCAGTGGGTGACTCAGATGGCATATGTTTTGTCGCTGCATGACTTCTCACATATTTTGTAATCCTGCAGTCTGCAGTCCTGCAGTATGTACAAAAAGAATATACAATATATAATATATATATAGGCATTATCGTTGTACTGGCTTTTCTATTTAGACGCAGTTAAACAGTGTCCCCAGGAAGTTCCATGACTGCTCCTTTGTTTTGTTCTTCGCACCGAGGAGTGGTTTCCTGTCTCGTACGACCAGGATTTCTACAACAAGTCTGTGGCCGGAAGTTTGTATTCCCTGGTGGCCACCTGGTCCAAGCGCGCTTCGGATCACCAGTCTGATGGACACTGTCCAGCTTCTGCCCAGCTGTCTCAGGAACATATCCTTGGCATGATCACCATGAGCACTTACTGTGAGCATCACAAAGATTCCATCGGCCATGTGCTGGATGCCGATTGTGAGCAAGTTTGCCGGAGCTCGTCCCTGGAGGAGGGCCCCAGGACTGGTCATGGTGGGCCCATGTGGTGGTGATGTGCATGGTGGTGGAGTATGCCAGTGTCCTTGACATACTGGGTTGTTCTATGCATGGTGTCTTGTTCATGCAGCTGTGAACACACCAAATGATGGTTACGTTGGTTACGCGTAAGCTGTCGCAAGCAGAAGCACATCCAACAGAGATGAGGTGCAAAAGATTGAAATACCAACTACCTGAAACAGTTCCTTTCAATCCTCCTTATCATCACTGATGAGCACTGATCAGCTGCGGCACTGGTACGTATCCAAATGGTACATATACATTTCGTACGGCGTACTTAACCCAGTACCCCAATATACCGCAGTACCGGCGGTGCCTTAGCATATGAAAACTCAAAACGACATTGTTGAAAAAGAACATCATAATACACTGGGGTGCCGAAAGTTGCGCTTCTTAACTTCTAAAACCTCACAAACCCTTTCCCCTTAGAATCCTACATGCAACATGTTGACACCTAAGTTGCGGTCAGATTTCCACACCTGAAAGCTTTATAAGTATTATACATTTCCACACCGTGCTGTACCTGTCAGGCAAAAAGGACGTGTTAATCCGATCCGCTGTAGACCGCAAGTGTCATGTTGGAACAGAGTAAGAAGCGTAAACTTTAGGGTTCTTGCAGTATATATATATATATATGTGTGTGTCATATATCACCTGTTTAATCTCCTCCTTAATGTCGACGTAGCATTGATCAACGGCCCCCCTCCTTCAAGGTCAACAAGGTTTTGGAGGTTTTGGAGACCAGATCCCCCTAATAAAGGTGATTACCTGATGATGGATGATGGTTGCTAGGATTCTGTGTGAACCATGAGGCCTGTGTAAGGGGTACTCTTTGTGAGCTTGAAAACCTGTAGATATTGATAGAGTTTTAATCAGGCGGGAAAATGAAAGAATGTTGCTAGAGAGTTTTTAGGGATTGGGGAGCAATGGACGCTGGCCAGAAGATATTGGATGCTGGATATAACATGGTGAACGATATTTTTCTGGGACAGCTGGGCTTGATTGATAGGGAGAGGTTTCTGCCAAGGAAAATGTTTATTCGGGTCCTGGAACTGTGGAATTCAGGTTTTAATTTAGCTTAGTATTGGGGGCTCAAGCTGGGCTTGATTCATAGGGGGAGGATACTGATTTCTAGGTTGACATCAAATGTCTATATCCTGGCCTTCCTCGACCATGACTGTCATGGTCTAGGGTTTGCTCGACCGGGTTGTTTGTGTGGTGTTTGTTTCGCGGCGCCCCACAATCCCTCCCTCGCCGTCCACGACTATTTCGCAGTACTGGTGCCTTGGCCTACATTTTGACCTTGGGCATCGCGGAGCCCTTCCGGCGCAAGGGCCTGGCCAAGGAGCTGCTAAGGCGCTCCACCGAGCACGTGCGGCAGCAGATGCCTCAGGTGGGATCGACCCGTCGATCGCCTCCGTTCGCTTCGCGTCCGAGCGCGAACGGTTCGAGTCGCGATACCAGGAGCCCCGTTCGTAGCGAACATTGTTCCTATAGTAGCTAAGGCCAGGAGCTACGTTCGAAGCGTCATTGCTCCGTTCGTAGCGAAGCGGGCGAAACAGGATTTTCGGAGGCAAAACGGGATGGTGGACCAAATGCGGCAGTCCTTCCTTTTTTCATGTCCTCGGCAGGTCAAAGCAGTGTTTCTCCATGTGGTGACCTACAATGAAGCGGCCATCCAGCTCTACGAGTCCTGCGGCTTCTTGCGGATCAAGTACTTCCCACACTTCTACTACCTCCATGGGACTCGAGACAGCACATCTCAGCACCTAAAGGTCTGGGACAAGTGAGGTTTTTGCTTTGGAGCAGCGTTTTTTGTTCTGAGTTCATTGTTTCCAAAGGTTGCTGCACTCATCAGGGTATCATTTAAAGATGGACTGCGCAAACTCAGTCTATTTCCCTGCTATCATGTTTATTCCAGCTACGCCGCTTTGCCAAAATTCAGGGCTTGAGATAAGTTGATATGCCCTTTTGGCCCAGAGGTCACATCTTCAGCCTTTCATGTTGCATCCTTCCATCTAACCCACTTACTGTGGCTCACCACACTGAGTCGTTCATAATCGGCTCCGGCGCATGGGTTGAAACGCTCTTGGGGAAGGAAGGAAACACATCGACACACCCGAAAAATTCTCGCTTTCGGGGGCCCTAAGAACTCCTCTCGACCAACCGTTGGTGACACTCCCGATGCTAGGAAACACTATGACTCCTACCTCTACGTGCAGTATTTGCACGGCGCCAAGCCCCCCTGGCGCTGGCGTCTCCACAGCTTCGCCACTTCCTGGAGTCAGTGGGTCTTGCGCCTCGGACGGGAGAACGAGACGGACGTGGGCAGCAAGCAGAGAAGCACTAGCGCCCAGAAGGGTCCGGAATTTCGGATAGTACCAGATTGCTACTAATTAGTGGCTCCTTGTTACTAGTAAGGCCAGGAGCGTCGCTAGTAGCGTCCGATCGCTCCTAGTAGCGATGCCAGGAGCCCCGTTCGTAGCTTCTTTTGCTATCACCAGATGGCACCAGAAAACCGGAGTTCTCCTGCAAGCCCTGAAGCCCGTTGAAGCCCTGTGAGCATGCAGCAATGCCACACTCAGAGGGTGAGAGGTGTTTCATCCTCACAGTACAAGACAACAACCCAAAGTGGAACTGGGATTCGGATGGAAGGGTAAGAAGAGATCACAAAACTTGAACTGATGGTTTCAACTTTCAACAATCCAATCCTTGAGACATACACTAATTTTTGATGGACATCTATGTTTCCACATAGATTGCGTTTCGTTGAGTGTGAACATTGTTGAGACCAAGAGGATTGAAGGAACCCTTTAAAGGGTCTAATATTTGACACCGGCATTGACAGATACACCGGCATTTGACACCGGTATGAGTGTCACTGGTCTCACCAAGGGGATTTAGTCTCGCAAAAGCCACCCAGCAGGTACTTCAGACAGACAACAGAGAGAGAGCATTCTTCAACCAACGGCCGTTTGGGCCCGTCTCCGCCGCCTTGACATTCCAGGTCCTACTGGACCGCCTGGTGGCCCGAGCCACGTCGGTCTTCGAGCGACGAGCGAGACATGATGGTTGTGTGACGTCACACGCAACGACAAAAAGGGAGTGAGACCAGCTCATCTCGTCTCGTCGTGTGGTTGCGGCTCCGTTGATATGTTTTTCCCTGATTTGGGGGGTGTTTTGTGCGGTGTCATCGCGTCCACCGCGTGTTTTGTCTTGTTTAAATTTTGCGGCGGATGGATGTGTTTCTTGGGGGTGGTGTCGGTGGGTCGTATTAAGTAGATAATAGTAGATACTATGGGACTACGGGTGATGCTCCCCAAAACATCCAGAAACTGGGTACTCTCCAGAAAGACGAATCCAATTCGTTCTGTCTCTTTGTGACGGAAAGTGGTTCCAACGAGGGCAGGCGGATCGTTATGTGGAGAAAATTGCATATGTGCATCCTCAAAAGGGCAATACACGACTCCAATTGAAGTTCTTGAAGGCTTCTCATCCTTTCAACCCCACTCCTTAAAGATGCAATCAAACTACGAAGAACAAGGTTCTTTTTTCCGGTGTCCCAAGGCACCTAGAAGGGCACCCAATGAAAAGCGGAGACTTAAGCTTTTGCAGCTCTTCGGCAGGGTCTGAGGACTTGGCGCTTCAGGGCTGGCTGGGTAGCCTTTTGGGCCAGTTCTCCTCACCAGCTGCATCCTTCCTGCCGTACACCGCGGAACTCGGGCCACGCCCCCGGGAGCAAGGCTTAACTCCGAAGAACTCTGAGAGCCGCGGACGCGGAGCAACGCTGGAGGAGCAGCCCCCCGGAGCAGTGACGGAGGGTCATTGGGAGGGCCCTTTCAAGAAGGGCTTCGAGTCATATGGCTGGTGATACTGTGAAGCTACCAGGTGGTGTGGTCCATCATGGTCCCGCTTACTTAAGCCTTTCTCCACCCGATGTCTTAATTAGTATTGTCTACCTCATCCTGTCTGGGTGTCCAATAGACCCTACCCTACTTACAGGTCTCCAGACAGGGCACTGATTGGAAGTGCTAGGTCTAGGTATTAATTGTTATTATCTAGGTATTAATGGAAGTGCTAGGTCCAGGTCTAGGTCTACATATCTAGGTATTCTGTTTCCCGAGATATGCACATCTCGCGACTTGGGCCCAGGACGCGAGACTCGAGCGTCTGGCAAGGACAGCGCGTTGTTCACCTCTCTCTGGCAGACACTCCATGGGACTGCCATATTGGTAGTAACAATGATCGCTAGTAGTAACAAGTGCATCGCTTCTAGTAACAAGTGCCTTACTGGTAGTAACAAAAAGCTATTAGAATTATATTGCCATATATATATATGCCTACATTGACCCCCCTGGCACCACCCCTGGCCGTTTCTCGGCAGTCCGGACTGGCAGTCCCATGGAGCGTCGTGTCTGGGCTTGGCAGACTGGGTCCACACGAAGGCCCCGTAGGGCAAAGCCAAAGCGCCCCCACCAACACACCAGTTTAGTTCCATAGAGTTGCGGTTCTGACCGGAAGGAGGGGAAGGAGGAACCTGGGTGCTCCCACACTACTCACATCCAGTCACTGGCGGGTGACTGGAGTTTACGACCCAAGTTTACGACACCTCGGTGTTATGCCGGTGTTCGCTGGTGTGGTCGCCCAGGGGGCGCGGTCCGGAGCACTTCTCGCTCACCGAGAGCCTGACGTGGCTTGGCGGTCGTTGCGAGCGAGCGAGACCTGCGAGGTTGGGAGCCGAGGAGCTGAAGATTGAGACATATTGAGACTCTCATCCGAAGGGATGTTCGGAGTTCTGGTGTCCTGGTTCCGTTCGTAAACTTGTAACAGTCGGTAAACAAGCAATGATCACAATTTGAAAGAAAGGCCTGCAACCAGGCACCATCATCATCCCCTGAAATCTGGTAATAGACCCAACTAACTCTATATATATATATAATATATATATATACTGTATAGGGTTTGTCCTCATACTTGTAACAGTCAATAAACAATGATCATCATTTTTGAACAAGGCAACTGAACCATCATCATCCACGTTTACGGGTAGATTAGGAGTCGACCCAATAATAGTTCGATGTGTGTGTCGGATCTTTGATAGTCGGGTTGCATTTTGAGGACCTTCTTGGTGGCATTGGCGATCGCTTTCCTGGCTCACCAGCGGCTTGGCAGTCGCCGTTGGACACGCTGGGCGGTTTCACCACCGGGCTCTGAGACCAAATCTTGGCGAAAGAAGACCAGCATCATCAGCATTGATGATGCTGGCGTTTCACCAGCACCTGAGCTCTTTTCACCCACTCCTTCTCAACCCAACACCCAAAAGAAAACCTTTACCTTAGGCTTCCAACCACCATTATTTAATAGGCTTTACCGAATTAACTAAGGATTTTACACTACAAAAACCAGGTCTAGGGTTTACAGACATGACTTCCAACCTAAAACTATCCTAAAACCATCTTCTGGAGCCCCAAAAAACTCCTCAAACACCCATGCACACGTGCCACTGGTTGTCCTCTCTCCACTGCTCAGTAGCTCTCAGGTTTTCCCCAGCAGGCTATGCGTGCATCACCTCCAGCCTCCTGGCAGTGCTCCTGGGCACCTTCCCCGCCGCCAAACGGTGGCCCGCCGGGGAGGCCTTGGGCTGGCCCTTGCTGCCGCCCGGCGGTGGACAGGACGGTTCAGATGTTGGAGGTGCGCGCAACATGGAAGTGAATGGTTTGCCGTTAGGTGACTCAGAAAGAACCTGTAGGCAAAGGGCATCGCGTCTCGAACGGAGCGATCGGACGCTACGAACGGGGCTCCTGGCCTTACTAGGAACAAGGACGCTGCGAACGGAGCAAAGGGCATCGCTACTGGAAGCAAAGAACTGGAAGCAAAGAAGCTACTAGTATAGATGTCTTAGGGATTTGGCGGTGCCATTTCTGGGGCTCGACGAATTCGCAGAGGTGGTACCCTCCACGCATCTCCAGCCTTCGTGCCGAACCCGGAGCACGTCACCGCGGGAGTCTTGTGGATTCAGGTGCAAGGTTGGGTTAGACTCACCAAGAGAGGTATCCAGTGACCTGAACTAGGACCATTCTGGGGTACCGGGATAGTCTAGCAAGCTTGCTGCCCATGGGTTTCGCACATGAGATCGATTTTTCTTCGTAGCGAACATCTTCGTCAGGGCTTTGCCGCTCGACGAGAACGCGCGGACGAGCACGCGCGGACGAGACTGAGGTATTTGTACTTTGCTGCCGCAGGCTTCACGGTGGGAGCTGCTGAGTTGGAGAAGCGTTTTTTAATTTTGGTTTCTTTTTGAAGGCCGCGAGTGACGTACTACTCGTAGTTGGCAGTTCCATGTTTGTCAGAGGTTGATGTGCCACTTGCAAAAACCGTATGTCGTCGTTGAAAACGTAATTGATCAGCGACATAACAAGTTTTTGCCGGCTCCGCAACACGAGTTGTTTCATTCACCTTCTGACCACCCAAACAGAGCTTGATCACAGAACCACCTACCAAATTGCTGACGGTGCTAAGAACGTACCAGAACCTAAGGATCGCTACGAACGGAGCGATCGGACGCTACGAACGGGGCTCCTGGCCTTACTACGAACGGAGCAAGGTTCGCTACTAGGAACAAGTGCATCGCTTCTAGTAACAAGTGCCTTACTAGTAGTAACAAGAAGCTACTAGGGGCTCCTGGCCTTACTACTAGGAGCAAGGACGCTACTAGGAACAAGGACGCCAAAAGGCGCCACGACGCATCAGACGACGCCGCGCGCTGCGCGCCGAGGCCGTGCCTGGCAGCACCTTGCGGCGCTTCTCGCCTCTGACGCTGGGCACCGGCACTGATCCGCGTCCGAGCGCCAAGGGTTGGCCACAGGATGCCACAGGAAGTCACTTCAGATAACGTGTGTGTGTGTGTGTTTTGTGCTCGGTTGCTTAACTATAGTAGGCATTTCGGGGTTTGGAAAGTCCATCGGTGTCGGCCAACGATTTCAATTCGCCAATTCTAGTGTTTTTTTCTGCTTTGAGGCTGTTGAAACCTGTTTGGTGTCCAGCGTTTGGTGTGGTAACTGGCATCATGGTCCTCCCAAAAGTCGCATGTTCGGTGCCGATGGCTTGGCCACTCTGAACTGACTTCGACTGGAGTTGATTCAGCTAGTCGTTACAAAAAAGCACTACTCAATGAGGCTTTCAGGCCTCTAGGGCCGAAGATTTGAACGTCTCAGCAGCGAAGGCTACGGAAGGCTATGTGGGGAGTCCAGGCAGGGTCCAGGCAGCGCCTCCAGGCTACTGGGTGTTGGTCCAGTGGCTGGATGCACATCAAACCCTATAGATCCAAGTACCCTCGTTTCGAAGGTAGGACTGGGGTGGGTGCCAGGAGGGTCCAGTCGTACCGAACCTGAGGAGGTACGACTGGATCCCTAGGGAAAAGATCATCAAAGAGGTCCGAAACCAAGACCTGGATGTATAGGGACGACCGCGCTTGAACGTGAGCGTTCACGTGTCTCGAGTCATGATCGTTCACGGTTTTCGGTGGTGTGAAATTCATGACTCGATGCTGGAAGTTGGGTTGGAAGCTCGACCGGGTAGCAAAGAAAGGTATGTTTCAAGAAGTTCCGTTTGTTGTTTGCATAGTTTTGCCTATTGTGGTTGTTCTTTGGCCTGGGTGCTTGGGAGATCATGGCACCACCCTGTTTGCACTCTCCCTAAGGGGGAGTGACAACGCGGAGGGTTCAACCATTTTGCAATCCCTTTAATTGGTTGCTATGTTTGCTTGATTTGATTGGTTTGTGGAGGTCAGGTAGTACTTGGAGTTTTCCCCTATGTTCGTTCTCCAAATCAACAAAAAGCTGTGGTCAAAGGTGTAGGAATGGTAGGAACCAGTCTCCTCCGGAAGTCTCCTCGCGGTCCCGAGGATAGACTTTGGGATCATGTTCCTTGGATTGGGACCGGCAAGATGGATGGGAGGGCAACTCCTAGATTTGAGGATGGGAATTGCCCACTCCTTCCAGACCATCAATGTGTGGCACAATGGGTCATTCCATATATGGGGCATCAAATTTCAGATGGAACTGCTCATGCTATTCAACACCATGGCTTACCATGACTGTGCATGTCTCTTTTCCTCCGCAGAAACAATGCGACGCCCTATGACCAGTCCGTCATGCGCCGTGGACTCGTCGCAGTGCCGTGGACTCGTCGCGCCGCTTTTGGGAAGGAACGAGCCGCAACCCCGATTCCGATCATGATTGATCTGAAAAACCTTCCAGAGATGACCATCTCTGCATTGATACTGGCAAGGGTCACTTTCATCATTTTCCCATGAACCTTCAAGAAACAGCTGAATTCTATTGAATTCTTCGTCACACCATTTCACTTCAGCAATACAGTTCTCCACACTTTTTCCGGTTCAAAAACCACTTGATCCTTCACTTCATCCTTCGAGGCTCTATGCCATTCACCTGCTCCTGATCCTCCTCCTCGGCCGCCTCGCCAAGCTCACGCGCGCGGAGCTCCTGGTCGCCAGCAGCGCCAACATCGGTGGCCCCGCTACGGCGAGCGCCTTGGGAGCACGGCGCGCAAAGCACCGCGCACCGCACCGCAAGGAAAGCGTTCGGGGTGGTCCCTCCCCTTGGGAGGTTCTTACCAGGGTGTGTGGGAGTGGAAAAAGGATCAGGTTGGTCACCAGTTGGACTCCTGGCCGAGGGACCAAGCCCATTTGACCAAGCGGAAACGGCGTGGTGTCCCCGCAGTACACACCCATGTAGCAAACCGCAAAGTGTGCAATTTGGAAGTTGATGTTCCCATATATTCTTTACCAGATGCTTGCAATCGATGTTGACAAGAGTTTGTGGGTTTCTGAATTCGCACTTCTGTTTTGGATGTTATGCATTTTGACCATCCGCAAAGTGTATTGTAAGGATGCCAAAATACATTAACGATGCAACACAAAGGAAGAGGGAGGTATCCGCCACTGTAACACCTCGCTTTGACCATGTGGGCAATAGAATGGGATCATGACCCAGCATGCTCACAATTCCAGTCTTTGCACTTCACTTGCAGCAACGCTGAGGGTACTTGACCGAATTCTTTAAACACATGCTTCTTGTGACTAGCAGTAATGCACTTGTTACGAACGTAGCGATGCCAGGAGCCCCTAGTAGCTTCTTGGTAGACTTGCCACAAATCATCCCAAGAAATCCACAGATTTCTTCCTGTGCCCAGTTTCGGTCGCACGGGTGCAAGCGTTATCCGAGGCTCATTGGCCAGTAGCAAGCAGTGGCCGCAGCTCCAGCGGCCGGCGCTCTTGGTGGGGACCTTTGGGTGCCTTGCCAAACCCGCCGCAGGGTCGGGTTTCGCAGGTGTTTTGGTTTTGTTACTATAGTGGCTACATATGCTTCTAGTAGCTTCTTGTTTCTAGTAGCTTCTTGTTACTACTAGTAAGGCCCTTGTTACTAGTAGCGATGCACTTGTTACTAGTGGCTATATATGTTTCTAGTAGCTTCTTGTTACTACTAGTAAGGCCCTTGTTACTAGTAGCGATGCACTTGTTAGTGGCTATATTGTTTCTAGTCGCTTCTTGTTTCTAGTAGCATTGCCAGGAGCATTATTGCATTTGATTCAACAGGGGTCGAGTCGAATCTAATTACATTAGTTCATTAGTTTGGCATTATACATGTTGGAGGCCATCGCTATTAGGTTTCATAAATGTCCACAAGTCTTCCTTGACAAAAGGGACAAAAGAGACATTTATGAATATTATTCACACATCAGTTTGCGAAAAGTCTTCGGATGAGGCACACAGTTTTTTGGGAGTTCCAAGTTCTGAGGTTGGTTGGACCCGGACAGGTGATGCTACAAGAAGCTACTAGTAGCAAGGTGCATCGCTACTAACAATATAGCCACTAATAACAAGGGCATCGCTACTAGTAGCTCCTTGCATTAGTACTAGTAACAAGAAGCTACTATAGCTTTTACCCTTGGGATATTCACTTGGGTTGAAATACAGGGAGGTGGACAAGAATGGTAGAATGGTGGACGATGGATGAGCAGATTCCGTTTTTGGAGATAGCACTCAAAAGATGTTCTTTTTGAAGGGAACGCCACTTGGTTTGTGGGAGGGCACGACCATAGAATTGTGTGACACCTCAAGAATATATGCAGTTCCTGTAACTTCTCCCATTCAATGTCCCACTGTCGTGTCACGGCCCACAATGCAACTTTGTCAGGAGGTGATCAAATCTATATAAATTGCATTTGCATCCTGATTTGTAGTAGATGTCTCCCGCAGTTTGTATTACAGTAATATGGTGTTTTTCTTCTTATTTTTATTATCATGTGTATTTGTTCAGGATGTTCCAAGAACATGTAGCAAGTCCCAGGAACGCCGTGGCCGGTGGCTTGGGCCTGGCCATCTTCCATTTGCTCCGCCGGCTGCCACACTGAGAGAGCGGCCAGTGGTGGGTGGTCATTGGGTGAATGCCCAGTGGCACAGTCCCTGAAATCATAGCCCAAAGCATTGAGCCATTGATCATAGCCCAAGAATCAGTCCCTGGATCCCTGAAATCATCATGCCTAAATGAGTCTGTGGAATAGCTCATCGCCCCAAGATTCTTGGGGCCCTCCGTGGCGTCGGACCTTCACCGAAACACAGGGGTGACCCGAACGCAGGGCCCCTGCTGGCCCCTTCGTCAGGGCACAGTGAGAGGAGAATGCTCATTTCAGGGACCAGTTTCCAACTTCCGTAATGATTTCAGGAGTACTTCTAGGAGTTCTGTTGGTGGTGGAAGCATCCCCATTTTTTGGCCACTGTCTCGGCGTTCTTCCGTTCTGCCCGACTTGTGGACTGTACTGATGTGCTGAAATGCCGAGGAAAGAAGAAGTACTGAAGTCCATACTGTTTGACCCGAACCTAAGGTGCTCCAACACCCTAAGGTACTCGTTGTTTGACCTCACCCTTGTTCACTGGCCTGAACCTAAGGTCACCACCTGTAACTGTACTGCTCCTTGAGTGACCACCAAGTCAACTGAAGCGTCCACGGAGCATCCATCGGCCTCCCATCGGCCTCCCGCGCGCGAACCGATTGGGGTGGCACCAATAACCAAAGGCGACCGAAGACGTATGGCAGCACAAAGAAATGTCCGAGAAGCGAGTGCTTGATGCATTTGGAAGCATGTTGACTGGCAGGAGTCGTGTTTCGTCGAAACATCCAAAATTACTTCATGATGGAGTTTTTGTGGGGACCATATCAAACCCCAGATGGCTTAGCGCTTTCGCCCACCCAATTTTTGTTGATCAAGGTGCTTGCACCCACAAAGTCCCAGAAGAAACACTTGGTCTGCCACGAGGATTTTTGGGACCCCAAGAGAGGTTGGAGACGGAGACTTGCGACTGGGACTCCAACCTAGGACCATGTGGAGTCGTGGTACATATGAGGCAAATGATAGGAGGAAGGCATTTAGGGCTGTGATGTGTCGTTTTTTTGAACCAACCTACTAGCGATGGCCTCCGAGATGGCCTCCAGCCTACCTGCGATGGCCTCCAACCTACTAGCGATGGTCTCCAACCTAAGGGCGATGGCATGGCCTCCAACCTACTTGGCCTCCAACTCCATCTGAATTTCACAGGAGCAGAGCAGTGAGCGGAGCAAGGCCCACTTTGGGGTTTTGGACACGGCACCTGAGCGGCGATTGAGAAGACCCTTTGGGTGAGAGAGGATTCCGCTTATGTGGTGACTTTTTTTTGGAACACTATATTTGTTACTTTTGTGTTTTTTCCCGAAAGCATTGCGAAGGGTTCTTCCGGAAAATCTCTTGAACACTGACACTTCTACACTTACACTCACACACTGACACTTCCACACTTGCACTTGAATACTGACATTTCGACACGTACACTTGAACACTTACGCTTCCACACTTACACTTGAACATGAACATGAAGACTTACACTTCTATACGTATCCCAGTGTAAGTGGAAGAGTGAAAGCATCCAACGGCAAGTATATCCAAGTGTAATGCAAGTGTGAGTATGGAAAACTTGCACGGGAGATGTCCTAATGAAAAAACATTTCCCCACTTTATAAATTCTCTCTTAAAGGCGGAGGGTGGGACGAACAGCGTCACCCGAAAATGCAACCCTCTGCGGAGATCGTGCGTGTCGTGTGCGCGAAATGCAGGCGAGAGTGCGATTGGTGCGGTCCGCGCGCAACCCTCTGCGGAGATCGTGC